CAGACAAGTGGCTGTCCAGTCTCTCCTTGAAAGCCTCCAGTGATGGAGCTGCCACAACCTCTGGAGGGAAGCCCTTCCACTGAACAATTGTTCTCACGGTTAGGAAATTTCTCCTTAGTTCTAGGTTGGATCTTTGAAGACCACGACGACCCAAAAGGAAATAAGGGGACCACAAGAGTCTTTCAGATTCACCAATCGGCCCCAAAGCTTGGAAGAGGCTGAGTTTCTATCCATACAAAGGGCCCAAATGCACACATGGAATTCCTCTCCCTCCCTCCCTGCGTGTCTACTCAGAGTCTGAAGTCAATGAGTTACTACTTTGCCTGCTGACTCATAGGCAAATCTTTCACAGGAGGAAAGTTGTGCTATGACCAAAAATCAGGTTTAGGCAACTTAACCCGAACCCTGGCTGAAGCTTTTATTTTTGCATTGGATGGAGCCAGCTGCAGCTCACAAAACCTGGTGCCTTTTAATGACATTTGTTAGTCTGAAAGGACGCTGCTGAACTCACAAAAATACCTGCCCTTTTACATCTGTGCTGAGGAGTTCCTGAAAGCAGCCCATAATACTTATTTGTTGTTTAGGGAATTCCATTCCTCAAAGTTACGCTCTGAGTAAAGACACAAAAGTAACTAGCCCAATAAAAAGAAACAGTAGCTAATCTGGGGGGGGGGGGAAGAGGGAGACACACACCTGGATTTGTTTAAAAGCACAAACAGGCTACCTGGAAAGTCTCCACCTGCTCTGCCTGCAAAGCTCAGGTCCTTCTGGGACACCACAAAGCCAGGACGGCTGAGGACATACACCCCTCCCCCTCCATACCTGGATGTGACTTTTTCCCTAAATACATTTGCCACGGCTCACTCCCAGGAGGCGATCCAGATAGTCCTTGACTTACGGCCTCAATTGGGATCAGTCAAAAGTCACTGCTGCTGTAAATCAAGGCATCCCATGACTGGACCTGGGTTTCCTTACCCATTGTTGTAGTAATCATTAAGCAGATCACGAGGTCATTAAGTGGATCACGCAGTCATGAAGCAAATTAAGGGTTGCAATTCCAAATCTACTTTCCCAAGCAACCTTTGTTGCCAGAAATCATTGCCACGTGACCATGATCGTAAATGCAATAGGTCGGCAAGCACCCAAAATGTGGTCACATGACCACAGGGGAGGGGCAAGTCAACATTTTAAAACAGCTGGACAGGCCATAAAGCGCCTTTTCTGGGGCATTTTAACTTTGGACTCTTAAACCACCAATCCAACCAGCTGCACAGGGCTTGGGGGGGGCTTGGACCAGAAGATCTCCAACCCATCAGTTGTAAGTTGAGGACTACTTATATGCATAACCATCAGTCACACAGACCCCCATGGAAAGTTATAAGACACATTTTGTCAAAGTATGGCGACTGAGCACGCAAGACATTCATCCATTTTACCAGACAGAAATGAAATTTAACTGAGCTGTGAACTCCAGCCATCCAGGTGAGTACTATACTCCAGAGTCAAAGCAAAGTCAGCCTTGGCAGAAGCATACCAAAGCCCATGTGTCATCGCCCAGCAAGGAGGGAACTGGCACACCTATAACATTGCAGAATGATTAATTACAGGTGCCAAATGAACACGGGTGCCACACCCAGCACCACAAACATCAGAGAGATCCAGGCAAGATGGAGTAGCAGAAAGAGAGCTAAACCCCTGGGGTGGATTTATCTGCACACTTGACCTTCACACTCATTTCTCAGGAACCTTTGCAAGAAAGGCTAAATAACCGTGCAAGCTGAACACACAGCACGCAGGAATAATTTGCACTTCAACAATCAGAACTTGTTTATGAGTAAACAGACAAAACTAGAGAAGCTGCAGCTAGAGAATCAGACTGGAAAGTGGGAAGCCCAAATCAGGAGGTTATTTACGGTCAGGAATGTTAGAATCTAAACTGGAATCTAATTTTATCTCCTCTGCACATGTCCTCAACAGGATGTTCCACATTTGGGGAGGGGGGGTGTTTCTGTGTTGTACACAGCAGTTTGGGGTTATTTAGCTGTGTTCTCCTGACTCACGTTGGTGCAGATGAGGAATGGGCAACTACGGCCCCTTTAAAACCTGTGGACTTCCAACGCCCAGAATTCCTGAGCCAGCTATGGAATTCTGGGAGTTGAAGTCCACAGGTCATAAAGGGGCCATAGTTGCCCACCCCCATCCCTTGCAAAACAGGCCCCCCAAAAGTTTTAAACTAGTAAATCTATTAGCAAATTATTAATGTCATCTATATACTACATTAATGACAAAACAGTTAAGAATAATAAAATGCAAAATTAAAGTTTTAAAACCCTTTAAGGTGTGAAAGTTTCTAGTCCTCAGGGTCAAGAAGTAAAAAGCTAAAGCTCCAACACACCACAAGCAACGGAAGAGGGGATCCATCTACCACACACACAAACACACACACACACATTCCTACAATTTTTCTGCTGCTGTCACCAGCTACAGCAGAGCATTTGGGACTTTTTCGAGCCAAGGAATCCGCTCGTTAGAAATCAAATCCCAGAAGCGCAATCTAGAGGCGCTGCCGTTGCGATGGGGGGGGGCTTTTTCTCTCCCTCGGTCTCCCACCGACGCCCCTCAGCTTCTCAAGCGGGACCCAAAGCCCGATTTAAGGGCTTTCCCTGGCCGGGGAGTCCCCACCTTGGCCGGAGGGGGATTCCTCCCCCGCGCCCGGCCCCGTCCGCAAAGGGCCGGCCACGCGCAGCCCCGTCCTGGGCGCGGTGCAGGTTGCCGAAGCCCCCCCCCCGCTTTGCGGGCTTTGGGGTCGGACGGGCGGACGGGCGGGCGGCAGTTCTACCAGCTCAGCGCCACGCCCGGCGGCGGGAGGGGAGCAGCCAGCCAGGCGACGGGAAAGCCAAGGAGGGAGGGGGGGAGGAGCTGCACCCCCGGCCGGGGCTCCCTCCGCCAAGCGGGCAGCGCGCCCAAAGGCTCGCCCGGTCCGGNCGGCCGCCGCCCAAGTCCAGAGCGCCGCCGGGCGGGCGGGCCGGCCGGCTGGCTGCCATTTTACGGGCCGGCCAGAGGGAAGCGGGCGAGGGGAGGACTCACCTGGCCTCGAGCTCCTTGAACTCCTCGCGGACCTTGGTGAGCTCCAGCTGGAGCCGCGCGCGCTCCTTGGCCACCGAGTCGAGCGTCTTGCGCGCGTCGGCCAGCTCGGCCTGGTAGGCCGCCTTGATGCCGGTCACCTCGCGGCTGACCTCCTCCTCCGACTCGGTGACGCGCAGCCGCAGCCCCGCGTTCTCCGACTCCAGCGAGCGCACCTTGTCGATGTAGACGGCCAGCCGGTCGTTCAGGTCCTGCAGCTCCTCCTTCTCCTGCAGGCGGGTAATGCGCGCGGGCGACCGCGGCGTCGAGGTGGGACCGCGCTTCTGCCCGAGGGGGGTCTCCATGGCGGCGGCGGCGGCGGCGGCGGGGACTTGCCGGGGATGGCCGGCTGACAGCGGCACGTCTGACTCACTCCCGGCCTCGCCGCCGCCTCAAGTACCTCGGGAGGAGCGCGGGGCGGGCTGGCCGGCGCTGGCCCCGCCCTCCGAGGGACGCTGCCCAACCGGGCGCCTCCGGCCCACCAGCCGGAGAACTCCGGGCCCGCTCTCCCCCCGGATGTGCCCTCGGCCGGGAATGCTGGGAGTTGTCCTTCCCCCCCCCCGCCCCGGCTTGAGCGCAGCTACGCGGCGGCGGCGGCTGCGTCGGGGATCCGCGCCTTCTTTGGCGGGGCTCCATCGGAGGGACCCCCCCCTTCCCCCAAGTCGAGTCCACCACCCCGCTTGTAGGGTTGCCAGGTGTCCACTATTTGAGTGGACAGTCCACTTTTTTCACATTATGTTCACTATTTTTTTTCACAAAATAGTGGACATTTTTTTTTATTCAAAAGCTTTAGGATGAAATGGTACGTAATCTAAAGCTGTACAGTCTACTTTTTTTACTACTTAACCCCCCCACCCCCCCGCTTGTCCGCTATTTTTTGGAAGCAGACTTGGCAACCCTACCCGCTTGGCTCTTTCGGGTGGTGGCCGCGAAGAAGCCCAACCTGGTTTTTTGAAATGGATCACAGCAGAGCTTCAGTTGCAACTTCATGGCAGCCATTTTGACTTTTTTGACCATACCCAGGGGATGCCCCCCCACTGGGCCGTCAATCCAGAGGCCGAGAGAAACTTTCCTGCTGCGGTTTTTGTTCTCCTGAATTCTCCTCTTCCTTCCTGCAGCTTCAGCTCTGGAAAGACGGAGAGCCCTCTTGGGAGGGGTCACACCCACACCCACACCCACCCACCCCCTTTGTAGGGGGAAACGTGAACCAGGCCAACCAGGTCTTTGCCCAGCCTCCCTCTTCTCCTGCCTGGGGAGCGGATCAGTGACGCCTGCAAGGCACAGCTGAGGTTCCCCCATTCGCTCCCTCCCTCCCCCCCACCCATCCAGGAGTGCACCAAGGGATCCTGAGGGGCAACAGGCAGGCCGTGGGGGGCGGGGGGGGGGGTTGTCATACATCACTCAACTCTCAAAGCTAAAATTGCAGGCTTTGTGGAATGCAGGCCCTGGACATCAGCTATCAGAGGGTCCCTGTGGTCATGTGACCAAAATGTGGGCATTGTGGCAAAAATGTCAAAGAATTAGGCATCTCATTTAACGACTGCCTTGCTTAACAGAAGTACTAGTCCCAACTGTGGTTGTAATTCAAGGACTACTTGCAAATATATATTTATAAATATAAAATATTCAATAAATACCAATTTCAAAAATATCAGTCTTCCTAGCTTTCCAAATTAACATCTTTCCCACCCTTTTCACCAAAATTGCACCAAAGGATTTTAGAGGAACGCTTAACAAGCCGAGCCATGGCCCAGTCGGAGCCCGAGTCTCAGGAGGAGGAGGAGGAGGAGGATGATCAGGGGCTGGCGCAGGGGGACGGATGCAGTCCCTATGGCTCAGGAGGAACGCCAGGAGGAGGAGGAGGAGGCAGTCCCGGGTCCCTGGGGCCTCGGAAGAGTAGGCAGAGAGGAAGACGGGGCGCAGGCTGGTCAAGGAAGGGGGGAGGAGACGGAGAGGGCAGGCAGAGTCAGCACAGGGCGCCAGGAGGCTCACCTGGAGAGTAACCTTTAAGGAGCCGCCAGGAGGGTTGGGGGCTTTTGCCAGGAACAAGCGTTTGTTTTCGGATTACACTCCCTCGGCATTGCCTGCTTTCGCCTTGCTTTAAGAACCGCTTTCGTCTGCCTGCGCCAAAGGCTGCTTTTTGCTTGGCTGTGAGGCCTGTTCTCGGCTTGCCCGGGGGATTCTCCCTTCAGACCTGCCTTGCCTTGGACCCCCGTCTGGTTTTGAGAAGCACCCTTTGCCTTTGGGACCGAACTGGGCCCTTGTCTGTGAACTGTGTTTGCCTCTTGTTTCACTGTCCCCTTTTGGAAAACTGCCCCTTGCCTTGGACCTTTGCCTGGCTCTGAGAACTGCCCTGGCTTTCTGTCTGGGCTTTTGCCTTGTGGAGGGGCGTGGCTTGGGGGGCTGGGGGTGGAGCCTGACTGGTCAGTGGAGGGTCCTTCGTTTGTTAACCCTTTCCAAGAGCAATGAAGAACTCCCTGGAGGCCTGCCCAGTCTTGCCTGCCCGGGTCATAACAAGCCGATTCCCCTGAAGCCTTTGACTTCACCCTGGGGAGGGTCTATGACAGTGGTGGCGAACCTATGGCACGGGTGCCAGAGGCGGCACTCAGAGCCCTCTCCATGGGCACGCATGCCATTGCCCCAGTCCTAGGCCTTCAGCTGGGTTTTATAAAACCTTTTCGCTTTAGTCCTCCGCCGCCGTGTGCAAAAAAAAAAAAAAAGGTTCAGTCAATTTCAACTTCTCGCAGGAAAAAAAAGATCTTGAAAGTTGGAATTGATTGATTGAACTTTTTAGTCCCACCCAGTCTGCCATTACCACCACAGCCACGCCCACCCAATGGGCCACGCCCACCCGGCACCCGACGATGCATAAGTGGGTTTTGGGTTGCAGTTTGGGCACTCGGTCTCTAAAAGGTTCGCCATTACTGGTCTATGACAAGTTGCCACGGCCAACTGGCTGTGGGGCAACTCCTTGCAAGACAAAAGTTACACTAATATCAAAGAAATGATGAAAAAGAATCATTAAAGGATGCAAAAGGAAGGACAGACTGAAACGTGAATGGTAAAAATTAAAATAATTTTTTAATTTATTTTAAATAATTAAATAGAATTGTTAAATTGTCCCACAGCAAGTGGTCCCCTTCCCCCCCCCCCAAAAAAAAGTTTTCCAACCATCAGACTTTGCCTCACTTCGGTTCCAGCCCAAATCATTTCATCCCGTTCATTTTTTAGTTCTGTTCACTTTGCAGAACGTGCCTGGTTCAGCCGTGTGTGTTCCATGACTTGCTCTACATTTTGATGGAAAATCACACTGCATTTTCTTTTGTTTCTTTGCATTTTTCCTGAAATTTTTTTATTTATTTATTTATTTATTATTTATTATTTATTTATTATTTAAATTTCTACCCCGCCCTTCTCCCTGCGGACTCAGGGCGGCTTACAGCCTTTTTAAAAACAAGTACATAACTACAAAAATACTAACGTTAAAAAGTTAATTAAAATAAAATATTATTATAAGGCCTTTATAATTTAATTTTTTTTAAAAAAAAATTAACTCCATTCTCTGCAGCCTTTTCTCTTTCTACAAGATATATATTCTTCATTTCCCTTCTTTGCTTCATTCATTCCATTACGTGCCTTTCTTTCTCATCCATGGTGTCTTTCACTTCGTCCCCCTCCCACATTTTGTTTTTCATTCATTTTGCAACTTCATTCTTTCTAATGTGTCCCGAACAGCTTCTACATCCCCATGTTTTCTTCCCAAAGGTCTTCTTTCCACATGGTCTCTGTTGGGAGACTAGAAGTTTTGGAGAACTGACTGGGATGCAAATTGCAGTAACAACTAAAATAATTTATACTAAATACATTTTAATTTCGAACTCCTACTTCCTCTCTCTGCAGTGATTCAAATTCCTTTCCTTCCAGGCCTAGTTTTTCCCACGATCCATTTGTGACTCTATCAAAAAATAATCTTCCCAGTTTCAAAGCTTCTCCCCCCCCCCCAAAGTGCTCTTCTCTAATTCTCTCCGTTACCAGAACCAAGCAGCTCAATCCTGCCTTTGGGTCCTGCTTCTTCCTTGCCGTAAGAGCAAGGCGTGGTGGTGATGGCGTCAGGTGAGAAACCAAGAGGTGGTGAGTTCTAGTCCTGCCTTAGCAATGAAAGCCAGCTGGGTGACTATGGGCAAATCACCAGGAGGCAGTGAGTTCTAATCCCACCTCCGATATGAAAGCCGGCTGGGTGACCTTGGGCCAGTCCCTCTCTTTCAGCCCAGTCCACCTCACAGGGTTGTTTTTCTAAGGAAAACAGGAAGAAATAGGAGCATTTATGTATCCTTGCTGCCTTGAGTTACTTATAAATATAATCAAGGCAGGATAAAAATACACAGAGTTGTTAAAGCCCATGTTTAAATAGGGCAGAGCTGCTTCTGATCCCGCCTGGCATCTCCTTCGTTCTTAGCCCTCCAAATGTCATGGTCGCTTCTTCCTTATTCTCTTGTAATTCTCATCCACTTGTTCCTGATCCATTTCGCCTGGATTGGGTTCAGTCAGAGAGGTGCACAGTTTTCCCCAATCTCATCTCCGGTTCTTCTGTTACCACCATTTATTGGAGGCCCTCTCAATACACAACCAGGCCCCACACAGATTAACCGAGTAGAACGTCACTTTGAATGTCTAGTCCAGCCCCCTTCTCAAGCAGGGGACAGCAAAGAAGGGAGGTGGCTCCAGAGTGAACGGTGGCTATTTTGAAGGCTCCCCGTGCCTACCTGGTGCCCAGCCTCTCTGCCTGTTGGCAATCCCGGGGCATCCGTTTAAAGCAACTACATGAGCCTCCCCAGAGATGCAGCTACTTTCACAGCTCAAGGCTCATCCTTCCAGCTGAGATGGGTGGAGCCCTTTGCTTCATCCTAGTCAGAGATGTGTAGGCTGCTGAGAATATCTGAGGAGAGCCAGGCAGCGTAGACAAGACTTGGCCCTCACGCTCCATCGCCCACAGTTGATGCTGTAGGGCAGTGGTTCTCAACCTTTTTAATGCCGCGACCCCAACCGGTCGTAAGTCGAGGACTAAACCGGTCGTAAGTCGAGGACTAAACCGGTTGTAAGTCGAGGACTACCCAACCGGTCGTAAGTCGAGGACTTTCCCTGCCCGGGAGCGCCACGCATGCGTGGTTCTGCCCCCTGCGCCGGCCGAGGCGTAGCTGGCAAGCAGCAGAGACGGAGCAGGCCGACCACCAGCTGGCCCAGCCCAAGGGAGGTAAGGCACCCGCCGCAAAAGGGGGAAAAAAATGGCGGACAAAAAAAATGGCGGACAGCCTTGCTTGGCGACCCCCATGA